CATTGTCGTAAATATTTTCAAAACAAAATATATGTTTGGGACATTAAACGGATCTGTTTGTGGCCTACAGTCCACAACGAGTCGAAATATCAATTTAAACTGACACTTGAAATATCAAAGTTTGAAATCTTTTTACCCGACTCGCCAGCAAAAGTCAATTTTTGATATATGCAAGCGTGTCCATAATGCGATCCCCAAAATATATACCGCACGCTCTAGAAATTATGTTGTAGACCTATGTTATGTAATATACCTAACTAAAATAATAATATACCTAAAAGTGGTACAGAACGCTCCTTAGTTTGTAGCAGACCGCTATGATATTATATCCGTAATTATGGCGTTTTCACTAGGTTAAATATGGACATAAGATTGTAATACTCCTGTATGTAATACCCTAGATGTTGATACTTTATCACAAACAATGACGTCAATTACAGTATTTATCAAAAAACATTACACTCCAGCACGAGATCATCATGGCAATCAAACGATAAGTCACCTACGATCTCCATTCTCTAGAAATGTTGTATTGAAAATTATCATGGGATTTAGAAACATTTCAAAGATAGCACAGGCTTGTTTGACACGTATATGGCCATAAATAAAAATTGACTCCCAAATTAGCTGCATTAAACGAAATCTGAACGCTTAAAAATGTCACTCAGAAATAAAGAAAACAGCAAGACAAATGAATATGCGACACGTATTAATGGATTAGGTCTGGAAGTGGTAATCTGGACGAAATCGAAAGGAATGTGACACTAAATGTTGACATAAAGGAATGTGACACTTAATGTTGACACAATTATAGTCAACTTTATACATGCTCAAAACTACTCATTTGAGGATACATTTTACTGTTGAACATTTAATAATCGAAATGTGATGGAGTATATAACAATTTCTTCAAAATTAACGGGAAATGTCGTGTAAGAAGTAAACAGTGCAACTTCAAGTGATGAATTAACCGTAAAGCCGGTCACGTGATGAGCTTTTAACAATAAAGCCGGTCACGTGAGATATTAGCGGCTAACCTTTACGAGGAAAGTTAACGGTAAAGTGTCACGTGAGAAGTTAACAATAACAAAGCACGTGAGAATGTCACGTGGGAAATAGACGGTAAAGTGTCCCGTGAAAATTTAGTGGTAACCCGACATGCGAGAAATAAGGGGTAAAGCATCACGTGATATATTTATGTCAATCAAAATAGCGCGTGAACCATTGTCCAATTTCCAGCGTTCGACATGGTTCTGTATGGTATTGACTATAACTGCTAGTGCCATAGATATCGCTGACTACCGAAAAAGAAATCTTGTAATGGACGTGTTATCAGTCACGTGATTGATAAATAAAAAGTACGGAATTGATGTCAAGACTTAGGCAAACATCTCTGTCATATGCCCGAGTCGCAACAAAACAGACACGGCTTAATGTATCGATTGATGCAGATATTCAGCAGGAACTACAGAAAATAAAAAAGGTAGTTACACCAACAGAACAAACCAGCGGATATGTAGATCGCCGATTGTACACATTGGAATGATAGTTAGACAGGATTAACTTACACACAATGACTAATGAAGAATTAACGTGCATCACTTGTTTACGATACGATTTGTTTTTGTAAGTGCTTTACCGGGATCGATGGTCACTGTATCCAATTTCTACAAGATCTACACAATTCCACTGGAACTGAGCGTGTCTGCGAAGAGTAAAAGTTGCCATTTAATACATCGTCATTCGAAAAGAAGCGCTTACCGCTCTCCTGTCCAGTATGTCTTCTTTGATGCATGATAATATGTGACATAGTGTGACTAAGTATTACCCGAAATCACATGACATATTGTGACAAAGTATAACCCGAAATCACATGACATATTGTGACAAAGTTTAACCCGAAATCACATGACATATCGTGTCTAATTTTAACCCGAAGTAACTTGACATATTGTGACTAAGTATAACCCAAAAGCACATGACATATTGTGACTATTTATAACCTAAAGCCACACGACATATTGTGACTATTTATAACCTAAAGCCACATGACATGTTGTGACTATATATAATCCGTAGTCACACGACATATTGTGACTATATATAACACGTAGTCACACGACATATTGTGACTATATATAACCCGTAGTCACACGACATATTGTGACTATATATAACCCGTAGTCACATGACATATTGTGACTATATATAACCCGTAGTCACATGACATATTGTGACTATATATATATAACCCGTAGTCACACGACATATTGTGACTATATATACCCCGTAGTCACACGACATATTGTGACTATGTATAACCCGTAGTCACATGACATATTGTGACAATATATAACCCGTAGTCACATGGCATATTCTGACTATATATATATAACCCGTAGTCACACGATATATTGTGACTAGGTATAACCCGTAGTCACATGACATATTGTGACTATATATATATAACCCGTAGTCACACGACATATTGTGACTAAATATAACCCGTAGTCACATAACATATTGTGACTATATAACCCGTAGTCACACGACATGTTGTGAGTAGGTATAACCCGTAGTAACACGACATGTTGTGACTATATATAACCCGAAGTCACACGACATGTTGTGACTATATATAGTCACGACATGTTGTGACTATATATAACCCGAATTCACACGACATGTTGTGACTATATATAACCCGAATTCACACGACATGTTGTGACTATATATAACTCGTAGTCACACGACATGTTGTGACTATATATAGTCACGACATGTTGTGACTATATATAACCCGAATTCACACGACATGTTGTGACTATATATAACCCGAAGTCACACGACATGTTGTGACTATATAAAACCAGTAGTCACATGACATATTTTGACTATATATAACCCGTAGTCACATGACACATTGTGACTATATATAACCCGTAGTCACATGACACATTGTGACTATATATAACCCGTAGTCACATAACCTATTGTGACTATATAACCCGTAGTCACACGACATGTTGTGGGTAGGTATAACCCGTAGTCACACGACATCTTGTGACTATATATAACCCGTAGTCGCATGACATGTTGTGACTATATATAACCCGTAGTCACACGATATATTGTGACTAGGTATAACCCGTAGTCACATGACATATTGTGACTATATATAACACGTAGTCACACGACATGTTGTGAGTAGGTATAACCCGTAGTCACACGACATGTTGTGGGTAGGTATAACCCGTAGTCACACGACATCTTGTGACTATATATAACCCGTAGTCACATAACATATTGTGACTATATAACCCGTAGTCACACGACATGTTGTGAGTAGGTATAACCTGTAGTCACACGACATGTTGTGAGTAGGTATAACCCGTAGTAACACGACATGTTGTGACTATATATAACCCGAATTCACACGACATGTTGTGACTATATATAACACGTAGTCACACGACATGTTGTGAGTAGGTATAACCCGTAGTCACACGACATCTTGTGACTATATATAACCCGTAGTCGCATGACATGTTGTGACTATATATAACCCGAAGTCACACGACATGTTGTGACTATATATAACACGTAGTCACACGACATGTTGTGAGTAGGTATAACCCGTAGTCACTCGACATGTTGTGACTAGGTATAATCCGTAGTCACATGACATGTTATGACTATATATAACCCGTAGTCACACGACATGGTGGGACTATATATAACCAGTAGTCACAGGACATATTGTGACTATATATAACCTGTAGTCACACGACATGTTGTGAGTAGGTATAACCCGTAGTCACACGACATGTTGTGACTAGGTATAATCCGTAGTCACATGACATGTTGTGACTATATATAACCCGTAGTCACACGACATGTTGTGAACAAGTTCAGTCTTCGGTACTCATACGGAAATGATTAAAAGATCGTAATTAGATAGCGCATTTGTAACTATGAGATCAATTGTAAACGTCCTTATGACCAGTGTTTAAATTTGAATCATGCGTTTTCGATGCATGATATAATTCCACAAAAAATCTAATTTTAATTATCACAAAACATGTCGTCTACCGTAACATAGTAACGTGAAAGAACATTACTTAGACATAAAGCTACAGACAGTCAGATACTAATAGATACGATCGTAAGAGCCCCAAACAAAACATGCTTTGCCAACCACTCTTTTACCAAAGGATCTATTCACCATTACGCCATAACGCATGTACATTGGTTTTGCATCTCTCTGCGAAACTATCCCCTTTAACCACAGCTTCGAATATCCCTTTAATTACTGATGAAGAAGATCTGATGAAAAATGTACGCAAACCACCGTCCAATCGTGTTTAACATAAAAAAGCCGTTTACAGGGGCGTTTCTAGGATATTTGAAAGAGGGGGCGTAGAATCATTTTTTTCGGCGAGCGCAGCGAGGCGAAAAAAGTTTTTGGACCTTTTTTTTGCTAAAAACATAAAATAATTGTGAAATGCACTAATGTAACGGTCCCTGATTTGGAGCATGTATATTTTATAGTTAAAGTGTCTGGGTGTTTATGTGTTTAATTAATGAATATGATAAATTGCCATACTCAATACAATATTAGCAGATTACGATAGTTGGTGGTTTTTTTGGGGTTTTTTAAAAAAAGGGGGGGGGGGGGGGTACGCCCATTACGCCCTCACCTGGACCCGCCCCTGGTTTAGAAATTATGACGAACATGGTGTAATTCCATAACCCATAACTGAAGGGGAAATGCAAACACTAGCGCAGAAAATTGAGAGAGCTTGTTATTTGGGATTCCACAAGTAACACTTACCAAATTCAACATCACTAGATCCTTTAGCTAACAGGCCCACGTTAAGACGTCACTTTGATAATACAGATCCAATCTGACAGACGTTTCCTGTAAATATCTGTATCACTATTCCGAGATAATTCTCACGGAAAAATCGACAATGAAAAATGGTTTCACCATTACTCACAAGCACCAGGTTACAACAGTTACTGTATAAACACAGTGTCGTACCGGAAAATCCCTCCTGACCCTTCTCCACAAAAGCAATACACAAGCAAAAAGCCGCAGTGTCCAATACTGACCGGCTCCACTTGTGGTCAGTACAGGGTATATTTGTCCAGCAATATTTGCCATCAATACAATCTTCAACAGAAGGCTAGAGTCAACAGAGCCAGTCTTACCATACTGCACTTCACTGCTATTTAGTTTCTACCCCGGACAATAAAGACTTTCTCCAGTACTTCAGTAGTTTGCAAAGGAGAACAAACATCTTACTGAATTGAAACAAGTTTTGAATGTTACTGTCATGTAAGTATTGCTGATATAAAGAGGCGTAGGTTTGTGTCATAGACACTGAAGGTTTTAGTTTGGGGAGCAATCGCAAACAGTACAATGTCAATATTTGTTACAACAAAAGTGGACGCCTCTCACGTTCTTTAGATGTTGTGATATTAAATGACTAAGTTAATCATGGGACTATTTAGTTTCTTTACACGACACAAATAGTGATCCAGGCAGTGGTGGTTTTATAAAGATAGAACTTCACAAAACAACGTCTCCAAATCGTTTTTGGACGTTATTGTGTTTCGTTTTTCTGTTCATATTATGTCAAATAGGTTTTTTACCGAGATGTTTTATTAAAGTCTTTATTCCTCAGAGTGAATACAAATCCTGCTAATTTATGTAACATGTACTAAATGTTACAACGTTGACCAATGTTAAATGTCGATAAGGTGGTCAAACGCTTCTTGCAGTTGTAATATTAACTACGGGTCTGTTACCAGGTACATTATCTCATTGTTACTAATTACAGTCAGTTTCTCCCTAATACCGGATGCATTCTGACTCTCATTGATACAAGTTACGTTCTGTCTCTCACTGTTATCAGGAAGGTTCTGTCTCTCACTGTTACTAGTTACATTTTGAATATCATTGTTACTAGTTACATTCCTATCTCATTGTTACTAGTAACATTTTGTATCTCATTGTTACTAGTTACATTTTGTATCTCATTGTTACCTGTTACATTTTGCCTCTCATTGTTACATGTTACATTCTGCCTCTCATTGTTACTAGTTACATTTTGTATCTCTTTGTTACTAGTTACATTCTGCCTCTCATTCTTACTAATTACATTCTGCCTCTCATTGTAACTAGTTACATTCTGTCTCTCATTGTGACTAGTTACATTTTGTATCTCATAGTTCCCTGTTAAATTCTGTCTCTCATTGTTACTAGATACATTCAGACTCTCATAGTTACTAGTTACATTTTGTATATCATTGTTACTAGTTACATTCTGTCTCTCATTGTTCCTAGTTACATTTTGTATCTCATAGTTCCCTGTTAAATTCTGTCTCTCATTGTTACTAGTTACATTTTGTATCTCATTGTTACCTGTTAAATTCTGTCTCTCATTGTTACTAGTTACATTCTGTCTCTCATTGTTACTAGTTACATTTTGTATCTCATTGTTACTAGTTACATTTTGTATCTCATTGTTACTAGTTACATTCTGCCTCTCATTGTTACTAATTACATTCTGCCTCTCATTGTTACTAGTTACATTTTGTATCTCATTGTTACCTGTTAAATTCTGTCTCTCATTGTTACTAGTTACATTCTGTCTCTCATTGTTACTAGTTACATTTTGTATCTCATTGTTACTAGTTACATTTTGTATCTCATTGTTACTAGTTACATTTTGTATCTCATTGTTACCTGTTACATTCTGCCTCTCATTGTTACTAGTTACATTTTGTATCTCATTGTTACCTGTTAAATTCTGCCTCTCATTGTTACTAGTTACATTCTGTCTCTCATTGTTACTAGTTACATTTTGTATCTCATTGTTACTAGTTACATTTTGTATCTCATTGTTACTAGTTACATTTTGTATCTCATTGTTACCTGTTACATTCTGCCTCTCATTGTTACTAGTTACATTTTGTATCTCATTGTTACCTGTTAAATTCTGCCTCTCATTGTTACATGTTACGTTCTGTCTCTCACTGTTACATGTTACATTCTGCCTCTCATTGTTACATGTTACATTTTGTCCCTCACTGTTACATGTTACATTTTGTATCTCATTGTTACCTGTTACATTCTGTCTCTCATTGTTACTAGTTACATTTTGTATCTCATTGTTACTAGTTACATTCTGGCTCTCACTGTTACTAGTTACATTTTGTATCTCATTGTTACTAGTTACATTCTGGCTCTCATTGTTACATGTTACGTTCTGTCACTCATTGTTACTAGTTACACTCTGTCTCTTACTGTTACTAGTTACATTTTGTATCTCATTGTTACATGTTACATTCTGTCTCTCACTGTTACTAGTTACATTCTGTCTCTCACTGTTACTAGTTACATTCTGGCTCTCACTGTTACTAGTTACATTTTGTATCTCATTGTTACTAGTTACATTTTGTATCTCATTGTTACTAGTTACACTCTGTCTCTCACTGTTACTAGTTACATTTTTTCTTTCACTGTTACTAGTTACATGCTTTTTAGCAAGTCTTAATTTTTCTATATAAATTAAATGTACTTGAGAGGGGAACCATTCCTGATGTAAATTAGGCATGTAGTCAATAACCTTGATCCTGCAAACCTTAGGGCAAATCTCATGTCCCTATGCCGGTTGGTTCAAGGAAAAATTATTTAAAGTTTCATAACACATTTGACTACTGCAACTTTGTTGACGGTAGGTCAAGTAGAAATATTTGAACAGACTTGATAGCCATTCACCTATGTATATTATGTCAGTCCAATATCAGACCGAACATGTAGGTGGAGATCACTCATTTACATGTACTTGATAGCCTAGAAGCTTACATACATGTCATTATCAGGACTCTTGGCTTCAAGGACCGGACCTTGAAAATAACTCACTTAAAAATTAAAACATATATTGTACTTGACCTTTGTGGTATTGAAAGTATTGAAAGTATGTCTCATTTGAAATTAAAGTTATCAATAGCCTTTCACCCCAGCAAGTCCAGGTCAGATATAATTGCATTAGACATCATGGTTCTTGAGATATTGATTGCAGGTTTGAGCACATTTTATCCTTGTGACCTCGAGAGGTCATTTAAACAAAATTCTAACTAAAGCCAAATATGGCCGTAGATTTCAAGATTCTTCATAATATTTATTTTTTAATAAAACATTGATACAATACTACTGCAGGACGTGTGACTTGCCATGACCCCACAGACAATGTTGTGCTAGGTGAGAACATACAATTAAGACTAATTGAGATATGGAAAATAATCAGTTTTAATTGACAGAGAAAAAGAGATTGAAATCAATAAACTCCATATAAACAGGTATACATAAACACAGGTATATGATGTATATATGTAAACACAGGTATACATAAACAAAGGTATACATATACACAGGTATACATACACAATGACATAACTGGATTAATAATAAAACAAGAGGGCCTGTATCGCTCACCTGAATATTTAAGCAGTCATAGCAAAATATTCTCATTAAATATTATATTGCACTAAAAATATTTCCCTCGCAAACTTTGTTGGCTCCATCTGTTGAAACTACCAGCAAAATATTATTATAAAATTCTTTGCTTTTTGATTCTTCTTCAGAAGTTGCTCGACATATTTTTCCCTGTGATCTTGTAAGTAGGTCAATGTCATTTTCCTTCTCAAATTGGTTAGCTCTATTCCAAAAAGCTACCAGCCAAATCTTATGAATCCATTCCTTTTAGTTCTCAAGAACAAATCCATTAAAATGTTGTTGACCTCTGTGACCTCTAAAGTAGGTTGAGGTCATTTTCATTTGCAAACTTTGGTGAGCTCTATCCCGGGAAGTCACCAGCCAAATATTATAATTTTATGCCTTTTAATTCTTCAGAAGAAGCTGTTTGAACTGTTTGACATATTTGAACGCTGTGACCTTGAAAGTAGGTCAAGGTCATTTTCATTCGCAAACTTTGTTTGGCTCTTTCCCAGGAAGCCACCTGCCAAATATTAAGATTTTATAACTACCAGTTCTTCAGAAGAAGTCGTTTAAAGTGTTTGACATATCTGCCTCATGTGACCTTAAAAGAAGGTCAAGGTCATTTTCATTCTCAAACTTTGTTCGGCTCTTTCCTAGGAAGCTACAAGCCAAATATAGAGATTATATACCTTTCAGTTCTTCAGAAGAAGTCGTTTGAAGTGTCTGACACATTTGACTCCTGTGACCTTGAAAGAAGGTCAAGGTCATTTTCATTCTCAAACTTTGTCGGGCTCTATCCAAGGAAGCCATCAATCAAAAATAAAGATTCTATACCTTTCAGTTCTTCAGAAGAAGTCATTTGAAGCTTTTGACATATATGACCCCTGTGACCTTGAAAGTAGGTCAAACTAGTTTTCATTCTCAAACTTTGTTGGGCTCTATCCCAGGAAGCCACCAGCCAAATATAAAGATTATATACCTTTCAGTTCTTCAGAAGAAGTCGTTTGAAGTGTTTGACACATTTGACCCCTGTGACCTTGAAAGAAGGTCAAGGTAATTTTCATTCTCAAACTTTGTTGGGCTCCATCCAAGGAAGCCATCAGCCAAATATGAAGATTCTATACCTTTTAATTCTTCAGAAGAAGTCGTTTGAAGTTTTTGACATATTTGACCCCTGTGACCTTGAAAGTAGGTCAAACTAATTTTCATTCTCAAACTTTGTTGGTCTCTATCCCAGGAAGCCACCAGCCAAATATAAAGATTCTATACCTTTCAGTTCTTCAGAAGAAGTCGTTTGAAGTGTTTGACACATTTGACCCCTGTGACCTTGAAAGTAGGTCAAGGTCATTTTCATTCTCAAACTTTGTTGGGCTCTATCCCAGGAAGCCATCAGCCAAATATGAAGATTCTATACCTTTTAGTTCTTTAGAAGAAGTCGTTTGAAGTTTTTGACATATTTGACCCCTGTGACCTTGAAAACAGGTCAAGGTCATTTTCGTTCTCAATGACTCTAGGCCTGTCCGTTCTTCAGAAGAAGTTGTTTAAAGGAAAAGTTGACGGACGAGGACGGACGGACGGACGGACGGACAGACGGGCGACGGACGCCGCGCCACGGCATAAGCTCACTTGGCACTTCGTGCCAGGTGAGCTAATAATATAATAATGCACCATATTAAAATATCCTGATCTCCTTATTCTTTCTAGATCAAATGGCCTACTTACGGAGGTATTGTATACTAATGATGATTTGTTTTACAAATTGTAATCAAGAATCCAGCTTAGTGATCCACTAGCAACATAACAAACAAAACCAACAAGAAAACGTCTACCTCAAAGGATTCAGTATAGGAACAGAGATGTACACGAAAAAGGTTTGTCTAGGAAAAGGAAAGCAACAAAGTAGATAAAGAGCAATTACACAGCACCAACAAGTTTTGTCAAAGATTAAAGACAAAGTCAAATAAGACTTACATGTATCTCAGTGAACAATGTACATAAACAAGGTTAATCAACATTTCATTTTGCTATAAATATAGACTAAAACAAAACCCATTTATAGTCATCAAATTTTCTGAACAAGTCACATCTATTTCAAGTCATGGACTAGCTTTTCTTGGGTAAACAAAGTACATGAATGAGATCTGTGTAGGGTAAAACAGCAAACATCAACCGTAACACAAAGTGTATCAAACTTTCTACTTAATACGTGAAATATACACATTACATATTAAATATAATATACAAATTATGACTAAGCAATTTTGTTCTCACAAAAAAAGCCATTCAATATTGCATTGTATTGCACTGCTAGCTCTATTTCACACTCAGAAATAGAAATTATCATGTTATATATGAATAGGGAATTATTCGACCTGAGCTCCTGTGTATCATTTTCAAGGTGAAATAAGTATCTAACACTTGTTCATTCTGTTTATATGATTCTGTACATGTCATCTTTAGAAACCATATCCAATTGTTACTTCAATCTCCACATACAAATTTATGTGACTCTTCTGCTTGCTTCAAGACAAGGGAGACACTTTTCTGACAGGACAGACAATTGTTTGCTGTACAATATATATCTAAAAGTATATGCATAGCTTTGGTCTTACTCTCACCTTAAGTTAAGTTTAAAAAGTCTGTCAATTTGCCTCATTCTTAGTTCATGATTTTCCCATTATCTATCAATTTAACTAATCATAATAAAAGAATTAATTTCAAATGTTATCTCCCTTTGTATCTGTTTCACAATACCAGAATGAACATGGATCTATATTTAAGCATGACAGTGAGAGTTTGTACAGTGAGCACACATGGAGATATTTTGAGG